AGGCTCATCCAAGCATGTGGAGAGTGGTTTTAGCATGGCTGTGGCTGGATCCTGGAGGTTTTCAGCTGCAGGGGCTCTGCTTGGGGTGAAGAGCAGATAAAAAGGATTATATTATTTTTATAGTTATAATGTATTATAATATAAAATTAATATAATTTTGTTACCTGTGATAGAGATAACACAGCGGTAGGGCGTTTGCCTTGCCTGCAGCCAGCCCGGCCAAGCTGGGTTCGATTCCTCCACCCGTCTCGGAGAGCCCGGCAAGCTACTTAGAGTATCTTGCCCACCTGGCAAGCTACCCGTGACCTATTCAATATGCCAAACGCAGTTGCAACAAGTCTCAAAATGGAGACGTTACTGGGCCTGCTCGAGCGAATCGATGAACAACAGGAGGACAGTGTTGACAGTGTTGTTGACCTGTGATTAATATAAATTTATTTTTATATTAATATAAATCTTGTTACCTGTGAGTTCAAAAAGTGTGGGTGTGCTTGGTGGCTGAGAAACGCCTCCCCAGGCAGAGAGACAGTGACAGACTAAGAAAGGGTGAAGGAATGAAGGAATGGGGACACAGGCTGGTTGGTAATCAGTGATTGTTTCTTTTTCTTCTTCTCTCCTATTTCTCTCTTAGATTGTAGTTGTATATAGATCATAAAGGGTGGAGGTACACATAGGTGGCGTTGAGCATTATCATCAGTAAACAACTGTAAAGCTCCTCCTTCAGGGGAAGTTCTTCTAGGAAATTAACTCAAGGACAAAATCTCATCTGGGGGTTCCACTCAAGGACAGGATTCCAACAAGGGTGTATTGCTTTCTCCTTTTCTTAGCTAGTAATCCATTTATTTCTAATCATTTTTGTATGAGTGGCTAGAAACTCATACTCATATGGGCTGGAGTGATAGCACAGCGGTAGGGCGTTTGCCTTGCACGCAGCCAACATGGCCGACCCGAGTTCGATTCCTCCGCCCCTCTCGGAGAGCCCGGCAAGCTACCGAGAGTATTCGATATGCCAGACACAGTAACAACAAAGTCTCCAATGGAGAAGTTACTGGGCCTGCTCGAGCAAATCGATGAACAATGGGAGGACAGTGACAGTGACAGTGACAGTGATTGAGACTCTGTGGTTTATAATATGGCTAATAATGGTTCATTATGATTACTAACCATTTTGGGGCCACACTCGACTGTGCTTAGCCCTTCTGGCTCTGTGCTTAAGAATTACGCCTGGTAGTGGTGGGGACTGAACCCAGGTCAGCCATGCATTTGCAAGCCAAGTACCTTACCTTTTTAATTGGCCAGGGATGTAACTCAGTAGCCACCAGGGTTGCACCTGGCAACATGCAGCAGTGCATGTCATGTAGGGGATGGACTGTGGATGGGCCCTGTGCATGCCCGGTATAAAGTGTGGCCTTTTAAGCTATTTCCGGTGTGTGTGTGTGTGTGTGTGTGTGTGTGTGTGTGTGTGTGTGTGTGGTGAGGGCTACACCAGTGGTGCCTGGGACTGGAACTAGGGCTCCTGCATGCAAAACAAGCACTCCAGTTCTTTTGAGCTATCATGTATCGCTATGTCCACAAAGTAACCAACTCTGGTGAGGTTTGAACTCATATATCAATTTTGTTTGTTGGGGGGCCAAGCTGGTAGTACTCAGGGGTTATACTTGACTCAATAAATTCAGTAGATTATGTGGTGCTGGGAATCAAACCTGAGTCTTCTGTACACAGAGTGTGCACTCCAGTCCATTGAGCTATCACTCTGAAAATTATACCCCAAATATGAAAGACTTTTGCCTCGTGTTTTCAGGAATTAAAGGTTTGGAATTGTCTATGATCAGGCTTGGATTTATTTTCCTTTAATTTCAAAAGGAAGTTAGGAAAGTCATTTCAGATTGCCTACTGCCCACATCCCCACTTCTTATTCTATTTCTCCCCTCTTCTGAGTTTGAGGGGGGAAAAAAGAGACAAAGATCAAGAGCAGAGAGTAGAGGTGGAAAAAAGGTTAAAGTTGGTTACACTTTCGTCGTTTCCAAAGAATATCAGAGGTGTTTTCACCAGCATAAGATTCTCCTTTTCCACCCTTCCCCCATCCACCACATCCATCCTCCTCTCACGAATAACCAAAGCAATCTTTGGGAAAATGAAGCTAGGAGGCATTATTTTTCTTAACTTCGAATTGTACTACAAAACAGTAGTAATGAATACAGCAAGGTACTGGAATAAAGAAAGATATTCTGATTAATGTAAAAAAATTTAAAATCCGTACCCATATCCTCAAGTATATGATCAATTAGTCTTTGATAAAGAAGCAAAAAATATGAAGAGGGGTAAGGAAAGCCTTTTCAACATTGAAAAATGGTTGCCCATATGCAAAAAATGAACTTAGACTCTGACTGATGCCATGCACAAAAGCCATATGAAAATGGATTGAAAACCTCAGTATCAGGTCTGAATTAATAAGGCACAAAGAGGAAAACATAGGGAGATCTCTCCATGACACTGAAAATAGAGGTATCGTTAAGGATGAAACACCACTTGGGACTGGAATGATAGTATAGAGGGGAGGACTTTTGCCTTGTCCGCAGCTGACCTGGGTTTCATTCCCAGCATGCCACATGGTCCTCTGAGCATCACCAAGTGTTATTCCTGAGTGCAGAGCCAATAGTGATCCCTGAGCATCTGAGTGTGACCCAGAGAAGAGAAGAAAAAAAAAAACCCAACCAACCAAACAAACAAACAAAACACCACAAACCAAGCAAGTGGAAGCAGACATAAATAAACGGAACAACATTAAATTAAAAAGCTTCTGCGCTTCAAAGAAAATGAAAACCAGAATACAAAGAAAACAAAGACCAGATTACAAAGACAGCCCACATACTGGGAGAAATTATTTGCCCACCACTCATCTGATACAGGGTTAATATCCAATATATATAAAGCATTAGTTTGCAAGAACAAAAAGCATGTAATCCCATCAAAAATGGGGAGAAGAGGTGGACAGAAAGTTCCTCAAAGGACTCCAAATGGCCAAAAGGCAACTCGAAGTAACGCTCGACCTCACCAATCATCAGAGAAAAGCGGCAATGAGATACCACCTTACCACTAACGAGACTGACACTCATCACAAAGAACAACTAGTGTTGGCATGGATGTGGTGGTGGGGGAAGAGACCTTTATTTACTGCTGTTGCGGATGTTAACTGGTCCAACCTTTTTGGAAAAATATATGGACATTCCTCAAAAAAAAAACAAAACCTAGGAATTGAGCTTCCATTTTTGACTCAGCAATTTTGCTCCTGGGAATATACCCAAAAGACCCCCAAATACAAGCATCTTCAGAGCCCGGCAAGCTACCGAGAGTATTCGATATGCCAGGCACAGTAACAACAAAGTCTCCAATGGAGACGTTACTGGGCCCGCTCGAGCAAATTGACGATCAACGGGAGGGCCTTTACTTACTTACTTACTTACTATTCACAATAGCCAGAACCTGGAAACAACCCCAAGTCCCCAAGAACAGATGAGTGGATAAAGAAGCTTCATTACATCTACATGATGAAACACTACCCAGCCATTAGAAAAAAATGAAGGCATGAATTTGCCAATACATGGATGGACATGGAGAGTATCATGCTGGATGAAAAGAATCAGAGGGAGAGGCACAGACATAGAATAATCACACTCATTTGCGGGATAGAAATAAACATAGTATGAGAATAATACAAAAAAGACAGTAGAAATGGCCAGGAGGACTGGTCCTTAGTAGGAAGTGCGCCACAAAAGGTGGGGAGGGGCAGTTAGGACAGAGAAAGGACCATTATGAAAATGATAATGATAGAGGGAAGTGATCACTCTGGACAAGAACTGGGTGCCAAAAGGAGGTAAAGTGATATGCATGATACCCTTTAGTACAGTATTGTACACAATAGTGCCTAAAATTTAAAAAGAAGAAAAAAATTGTCTGCCATTGAGGCAGGCTGGGGTGTGGGCGGGAAACTAGGGACATGGTAGAGGGAGTTAGACACTGGTTAAGGGGTGGGTGCTTGAACATTGTAGGACTGAAACTCATACGTGAACAACTAACATGAACAACATAATCAGGAACAACTTTCTGACTTTGTATCTCATGGTGATTCAACACCCAAGAATAGTTGAGATAAGTACCAGGAGGTCTGCTCCAGGGCTTGGAAGCCGGCAGTACATGCTGGGGGAAAAGGCAGCTCAGATAGAGAAGGGAACACCAAGTAAAGGATGTTTGGAGGACTCGCTTGGGATGCAAGATACATGCTGAAAGTAGACTATAAACCGAACACAATGGCCACTCAATACCTCTATTGCAAACTACAACACTCTAAAGGAAAGAGTGAGCAAAAAGGAATGCCTTGCCACAGAGGCAGGGTGTGGTGGAGGGGATGGGGAGTGGGGGTGGGAGGGCTACTGGGATCATTGGTGGTGGAGAATGGGCACTGGTGGAGGGATGGATACTTGATCATTGTATAACTGAAACCCAAGCACGAAAATGTGTAAGTCTACAACTGTACCTCATGGTGTTTCACTAATAATAAATAAATAAATAAAAGATTCTTCTTCCTCCTACTCTATCAGTGAACATTTGTGCTGAGATTAGGTCAGGGAACATGGTGAGAGAAAATGAGGTCCTCAGATACCCTGTGATTTTAAGCAAAGAAAAGCATGTAGCCACAGCTTTGAGCTGGAGCCTCAGAAGTCGGCTGGAGGAAGGAGTGCAGCTGAAGTCTTTGGCCCCTCCCACTTTGAGCTGCCCCTCCTCCCACCCCAGGAATATTCTATGGCAGTTAGGATATCTGCCCTGTTGTTCTTTCCCAAGCCCCATGGTGGCAAATGCTCTGCCTGATGATAGAAGATGAGGGACAACTGTGCTTAGCAAGTGAAGAGGGAGATGGGGTGGAAGACTGAAGGGGAGACAGGCGGTGTACAAGATGGGAACAGGGGACATTAGGGGAAAGTTCCCTCGGACAGCATAAAGAAATGAACATCCGAAGTCTGGAAAGGCAGGAAAGGGCTGGGAAGCAGACTAGCGTCGATAAAGCAAAAGCAGAGCAGGAGCCAAGCTCAGCCTTTCACTTCAGGGGGAAGAACCGCAGGGTCTCTGTGTTGCCCCTGAAGTGGAGACTGAGACACAGTTCCCGCTGGGCAGGGCAGGTGTTGACTTCAGAGCTTAGCCTGCTTGCGTTCATTCTGCTGATGGTCATGGTTTTCTCCAAGAAATGGCTGTATCCCTCCAGGATCCGCTACTACCAGCCCTGGCACACTCGCATTAACAACATAATCGACAACTCAGCTCATATCTTGTCCATGGGACTCTTGCAGTTTGACAAATCCAAGAGTTACAACAACTCAGAGAATGGAAGAGGTGAGACCCTCCACCCTCTATCCCAATCCAGGACTCCAGCCTGCCTGGACTCAAGCCCTGTATACCCCACATTCCCTCTCCTCTGGTCATCCCCACAATTTAGACGCACAAGATGCTTCCAACTAGCACCAGTGATCATTTTCTCTCCCCTCAGCTTTGGAAGCCAAACGTATTTGCCTTACCCAAAGGAAAATGTCTCTGCTTCGGATAAGGCTCTTAAGATTTTCCAGGAGGGGGAGACTGGTGAGAGTACAGTGGGTAAAGTTCTAGCCTTACTTGCACCCTGGCTTTGATCCCCAGCACCCTATGTGGTTCCCTTGAGCCCCATCAGAAGTACAGAGTCAGAAATAAGCCTGTGGTCCCCCCAAAAAGTAAATAAATAAAAATATATTTTATGCCAGATCCTTCCTTAGAAATTTTTCTCATCACCAGTGTGTACCCTTTCTCTCAAAATCTGTACTAGATATCAATTCTTTAAAAATATCATAGAGTCTTCATTTTATTAAACTAGTTAACCAATATGGTAACCGTTATTACTTTGTTTAACATTTTCGGGATGAGGCTCTTCCCTCACAATACTGGTGGGCTCAGGAGTCATTCCTAGAGAGGCAGCCCACTTTTGCAGTCCTGATGTCTTAGTTCTTGGTCTGATGCAGTACCCTTCATTTAGGCGGTGTTGTGGGCCTCCAGTGCTGTGGAAATGCTTGGGCTATGGGATACTAGGACTTGAACTCAGGACATTTTTTTATTTGCTAATTTGACAGAATTTTTTAAATCACATTTATTCATTTATTATTATTTTTGGAAGCTCTGCTTTATTTATTTTTTGGTAGGGAATCTCTGCTAGAGCAATGGCCCCACAAGCACAGCCCCATTAACAGATTAGAAAAAAAAATCACATTTTTTTGGTAATTCTTTTTTGGTCTAGTTTTGGGTCACACCTGACTGTGCTCAGCATTACTCTTGGCTGTGTTCTGGTGTCACTCTGACTGATGCTTAGGAGATCACTTGATAGTGGGGATTACACCCGAGTTTCCTGCACGCAAAGCTCATGTTCAGACCTTTGATCTGTCTCCCTGGCCACTAATTTTCTCTTCTTGGTGTTGAGCTTCATATGTTTATTAGACATTCACATTTTTTTTCTTTTAAAAATGACAGTAAAGGGGCTGGAGCAATAACACAGTGGGTAGGGCGTTTGCCTTGCATGCGGCCAACCCGAGTTCGATTCCCAGCATCCCATATGGTCCCCTGAGCACTGCCAGGGGTAATTCCTGAGCGCAGAGCCAGGAGTAACCCCTGTCCCCTGTGCATCGCTGGGTGTGACGCAAATAAATAAATAAATAAATAAAATAAAACTTCATTGGAAAAAAATTGCGGTAAAAAATTTGCAGTCAAGTCCTCTGTATATATATTTTTCTATTTAGGAATTCATTTTCATGCGGTTGGGATTATTGAACAATTTCTGTGTCAGGATCTTTTGTTGTTGGTTTTTTTTTTTTTGGTGGGGGTGTCACATTCAGATACTAATCCCAGCTCTGTGTTTTGGAGTCACTCCTGGTGATGTTTGGGGGGGTCATGTGGAGCTGGGAATTGCATCCAGGCAACCAGCATGCAAAGCATGCATTCAGTCATTGTACTATCTCTTTGGCCCATATAAAGAAACTTTGTGAGAAAATTAATTTTCCTCCTCCTCCTCCTCTTCTTCGTCCTTTTTGGTTTGTTTTTGGGCTTACTACTGGCTCTGTGCTAAGGGGTCACATATAATGGTGTTCAGGGGAACAAATGGGATGCTGGGGATTGAACCCAGATTGGCTGCATACAAAGCAGACACCCTTCCTGCTGTAGTGTCTCTCTGGTCCCATTTTATTGCTATCTTCAATGTGCATATCTTTGGTTAATACACCTGAACCTTTTCTTGTATTTGTTCATTTTATTATATCTTTGTGAATCCTTAGTTTATCTTGATTTTTAATTTTCATCAGACACTTTTAAGCTGTGGAAAAATCACCTATTCTTTGGGTTGGCCAAGATTACCTTCCGCCTTGCCCTCGGGATGGGCTTCATCCTCACCATTTGGTTCCACCTGCCGTACCTACCAGGCTGTCAGAGATTGCACTTCTTTGTCTGGACTGGAACTGTCATGAGCGTCTGTGAAGGTGCCCCCTAGCTCTGAAAAAGGTTCTTACTCTCTCCTAACCCACATCTTCCTTGGCACTTCCCCCTCTTCCTTTCTCTGGGTGTGGGTTAAGGGTTTTGTGGTAATAGAGAACAGAACTAGTCATTATTGACTATGAATGGAGTCTATCACTTTCCAGATGGGAGAGAAGGAGGTGGAGGGATTCATTCCCATGAATCTCTGGGGCTGTGTGCTCTATGTTTACTGATGGGAGGTGTGGTTTGTGACTTTGGGGCAGCAGACGAGTGAAGAGCCCCTATAGGATTCTTGGTTGAGAATAAGATTTCTTCTCTGTTTCCTATCTTCTAGTTGTCTTCATTTTCTTCACCCTCATATTTTTTCCTGTTAATCTCTGGATCTTCGAGTTGAAGATGAATGTATCAATTCCCATTGGCTGGAGCTACTTCATTGGTTGGCTGGTGTTTATCCTCTATGCCACCTGTGGTGAGTGGCCTAGATAGTCCTGGGAGGTCCACATGAGGGTCAGGGTAGAACAAATGGGAAGGGAGGGGGGTGGTAGCCCGAGGGGATAAGCTTTTAGGGACTTTTCTTCCTTTGGCTTCACCCTGCCTGTCATTCTTCCCATTCTTCAACCTTCCTCTCTACCATCCTCTTGTCCTTTCCCAGGGATGCTCTGCTACTTCAGTAATAGACATTTCAGGGAAGTGATTCAGAGCCCTCCCTCTGGCATCCGCTTCAGCAACAGTCATTCCAGCTCAGTAAAAGACGACACGAACAGACTGTTTCAGATACCTGTCAAGAAGAAGGAAGTCCGGTATCCTAAGAAAAAGGTATCTATGGGTCCTGAGAGTTTAAATGACTGAGATCATAGAATCTGGATACCACCAGTAACAACTTCACAAACTCTGAACCCCTGGCATCAAGTTCTGTCCATTCAGCAGAATTTCTCTGCTCATCCCCTCCCCACAGCCTTTAGACAGGTAGACTCTCAGTACTGCAAGGTTTTAGAGAGGGAGGATTATAGGCTAACATTGTACTCTCTCCCTTGTGCCTCACCTACAGCTTGAAAGATGTGGAATAAATTGTCTCTTGTTTTCTACGATTTCTTTTTGTTGTTGTTTTGTTTGGGGGCCACACCCAGGATGCTTAGGGCTTACTCCCGGCCCTGTGCTCAGAGATCAATCCTGGCGGGCTTGAGGGACCATATCAGGTGCTGGGGATTGAACTTGGGTCTATTGCATGCGAGGCTAACACCCTACCTGCTGTACTATTGCTCTGCCCCAACTGTCTTGTTCTCATGTCTTGAGAGTTGCGGTAAACCAACAACATAAAGGCGAGGAAGGGAGAAAGAGCAAGCTTGTCTTGCAGTTCTCCCTTCTTAGGAGACTTCTACTACGCTTTAGTCTCCAAACCTGCCCAACCCCTTCCTTAGGCAAATTCCTTGCTGTGGGCAAACACCTTTTGAAAGCTAAGCCACTTTAAGCTTTATTACTTTTGCTTTCTGTTTACTTTTCGAGCCACGCCCACAGTGCTCAGGGATCATTCCTGGTAGGGCTCAGGTTTACTGTACTTGATATAACAGACCAACTCAGGTTGGCTGCGTGCAAGGCAAATGACAGACCCACTATACTCAGACCCTGAAACTTTGTTACTTGTATCGCAACATTTATTAGTAAGGAAAGGGATAATCAGCAGGGAGATCCCTCCTATGAATTTATCTTATTCATAATGAAGGATTTAAGAGCGAAATGACCTGCGAGTGAAATAATGAGGGCATAATAGGAAATGTGGTTGTACTGTGTGCCATCTCAGATGACTGAGTTCTCATATAGCCTGGATACCACCACTACCAATGCTAACTCTACCTGTACTTCACGCCCTTCACAATCACCACTTCCATTTCTGCCATCATTCCCACATTTACTGTCATCTTTACCACCCACCTCCTTCACCACCACTGCCAACAACCATTCCCAACTCTGCCATCACTTCTACTACCCTCATTGTCACTACCACTTGTGCATCTTCTACATCTACACAAACTCAATCTCCTCCGCATCCTCTCCTTCTACCACTGCCCCTTAACTACACCACATCACTTTGACTATCCCCTTCAGCTCCATCACTTCCACCACCGCTCTACCACTACTTCCATTATTACCTCCATAAGCACTACTTCCACTACTGCCTTCACCACTGCTACTGCTACCACCTCCACTTCCACTACCATCTCCACCACCAACACTTCATTACCACCTCTGCCTCTGCCAAAATACTATCACCACTATCAGCACCAAGTTCACTGCTTCTAACTCAACTCTACTCCCTGGTTTCTACAGCTTTCCACCCACATCTCCTCTGTCTTCCATCCTATAATAGCAAGAATGATTTCAAAATGAAATATTAGAATCAGGCTCTTTATTTATTTATTTTTTCTTTTTGAGTCCCACCCAGCGATGCTCAGGGGTTACTCCCGGCTCTGCACTCAGGAATTACTCCTGGCGGTGCTGGGGGGACCATACGGGATGCTGGGAATCGAACCCAGGTTGGCCTCGTGCAAGGCAAACGCCCTACCCGCTGTGCTATCGCTCCAACCCCGAATCAGGCTCTTTAGATAAAAATATATTTGCATATTTGGTTTATAAACTAAATCTCATAAACTCAGCAGTTGGCATGGGCATTATTGGTCACCAATAATGACTACTGTCATTTCAGACATCCTTCACTGAAAGGCTAGCTTCCTAAGAGAGTATCTATGACTGACCTTTGTCCATTCCTCCAGATGGAGCCATGGTGCCAGTCAGTAGAGGAGGAACTAAATTGCAGGACAAATTGCGAGTTGATGGAATATGTGTAAGGACCAGAGAGATAGCTCATGGGTTGGAGCACAAAACGCGATCTTCTTCAGCACAGAGCTGGAACAGCACTTGAGCACTATTTAGTGTGCCTCACCCCCCACAGCATGTGAAAAATACATATATTACAGATTGAACTATAGATCACTACTTTAGAGTTAGTTTTGGTATTTCATTTTTTTTTCTTTTTTGTCGAATCACTGTGAGATAGACCCTTACAGATATCTTGCACTATTCATTCCAAGCAATACAAAAGAAATTATCTAGCATCTGTCTGTGGGGCAGGCTTAAGTGGTGGTGGAAAACTTTGAAACAATGATTGTTGGAAGGTGTAATGGTGGTGGGATTGGTGTTGAAATATTGAATGTAATCAATCAATGTGAACAACTTTATGAAAATAAATAAACAGACCCATTAAATTAATTATTACTAAAAAAAGAGCCTAATACATGTACAGTTTATAACATATTAGGTAAAACATAAATTCACAAATCTGTCCTCAGTGTCTCCCTTTATTCTCCTTTCTCCTTGGTGTCCAGCAAGTATTTATTTATTAGTTAAACACCATGAGGTACAGTTGTAGACTTACAAACTTTCATGCTTGGGTTTCAGTTATACAATGATCGAGTATCCATCCCTCCACCAGTGCCTGTTCTCCACCACCAATGATCCCAGTAGCCCTCCCACACCTCACCCTATCCCCCCCACTCCACCCTGCCTCTGTGGCAGGGCATACCTTCTTGCTCATTCTTTCCTTTAGGGTGGTGTAGTTTGCAATAGAGGTATTGAGTGGCCATTGTGTTCGGTTTATAGTCTACTTTCAGCACTCATCTCACATCCCAAGCGAGTCCTCCAAACATCCTTTACTTGGTGTTCCCTTCTCTGTCTGAGCTGCCATTTCCCCCAGCATGTGCTGCTGGCTTCCAAGCTGTGGAGCAGACTTCCTGGTACTTGTCTCAACCATTCTTGGGTATTTGACTCCCATTCTGTTACTTTATATTCCCCAGACGAGTGCAGTCTTTCTATGTCTGTCCCTCTCTTTCTGGCTCATTTCACTTAGCATGATATTTTCCATGTAGAACCACTTGTATGTAAATTTCATGACTTAATCTTTTCTAATAGCTGCATAGTATTCCGTTGTGTAGATGTACCAAAGTTTCTTTAACCAGTCATCTGTTCTCGGGCACTCGGGCTTTTTCCAAATTTCGGCTATTGTGAACAGTTGCAGCAATGAACATAGAAGTGCAGATGTCATTTCAACTGTACTTTTTTTGCCTCTCCAGGATATATTCCCAGGAGTGGTATCCATCAAGTATTTATTGGAACACTTACTGAGTTTGTTATCCTGTGATACCAAAGGGCTACCATGATTTATCTCTATATCTATATATATATATTTTACATGAAGAGAGTGACTTTTGACTTTGTAGGAACTTATATTCTCAAGGAGAAATGAGGCAGACCACAAAAATAAAGGGAATCACTCTTTCAATCTGTATGCAAGATTTAATAAATATCACTTAGTATATTATCTATTTCTGGACAACAGATTATGCCCAACTTAATAGCTTTTGTGTATAAGTGCGGTGTCAGGGATGGAAATTGTTGGATAACATTGGTTTGTTCCTGCTCCTCATGCAGGGAGCTTAGGTTTATTGAGTTGCATCCATCACAGTGCTCACGAGACACACCCAATTCCATCAGGCACTCCTAAATCTTATATTGTTTTTCTCCTTTCTTTATGTCCGTTGCATAGTTTACTTTAAAGCAATGTCCCTTTTGTATAGATACAGGAAGATAGTTGATGCTATGCTTTTTGTAACTTGGGAGTTAACTGATTCTGAATAATATTTACACCTGGCATCCATCATATTAATTGACTTAAGCTTCAGTTGCCCTTAGTTCCTAACACCCCCAATTGGAGGTCCTGGTGAGGGACTTCGATGGACCCAGGGCAACCATAAGCTACCCTGGCATGGAAAAGGGACAAACTAAGCACCCTAAGAAGTATAATGAGTGAAGACCACATTATGGAACAAACTGTTATGACCCAAAAAGAAGTAACTGAACACAGACCCTGCTGGGGTTAGGAAAGACTAGCCTGGCCTGAGGACTGTGATCTGGGATATATAGCAAGATATCCCCAGGAAGAGCCAACCTTTAGGCGTAATATAGTTCTTAGTGTGTTCATACAAAATGACTAGAAATATTAGTAAGAAGTAAATTTAATATGATTGTTTAAACAAATTTCTAGTGAAGGAAAGGAGAAAGCAATATGCCCTTAGATGAAATCCCACCATTGAGTGGATCTCCTAGTAATCCAGAGCACTGAAACCCTAGATGAGATTCTGAAAATGAGTTAATCTAGAAGAAAGGAAGCTCTTGATCTTTACATCTGTTTATTGTTACGTTTAACATTTATTTATTTAAACATTTATTTATAATGTTCAACCTCACCTATGTGTACCCTCATCCTTTATGATTTCTATGTAACTAATGCTGTGAATAAACAGTCACTGATTACCAACCACACTGTGGCCCTGTTCCTTCATTTGCCCATCGCTGTCTGGGGGAATGGTTCTTGGTCACCAAATACACTCACTACACTTGAACTCACAGAAACCTGGACTTCACACCTGCAAGGCAAGGACTCTATCACTGAGTTATATACTCAGCCCCTAACTTAGTGATTTGTTTGTGTTGGGGCCACACCGGTAATGCTCAGGGCTTACTCCTGTCTTTGAGCTCAGGGATCACGGCTGTTGAGTTCAGAGGATAGTATGGGGTGCCAAGGATTGAACCTGGATTGGCCTCATGTAAGGCAAGTATCCTACCTATTGTACTTACCTCTGGCCCATAATTTAGTGACTTACGGTAATATTGTCTCATATGGCTTCTGTAATCAGGAATCTGGGAGTAGCTCATGGTTATATAACTAAGGTTATAGTCAAGATATGAAATGGGGTTAGACTCATCTGAAGGCTTAACTGGGACTGTAGCATCTACTTTCAATCTAGTTCACTCATATGGATGTTGGCAAGAAAGTCTCAGTTCCTTGCTATAATGGTTCCCTCATGGGATGCTTGAATATTTAGACCAAGGCCCCACTTCCCCCCAAAAAATGATATGGAAAGAACATGGAGAAGGAAGTCCCTGTGTCATCTATGACCTAGTCTTGGAAGAATTACACTGTCACTTCTACCATATGCTACTTTAAAACTGGTATGCCGTACTCAAAGGGAGGGAAACTAACTTTTATCTCTTGATCGAAAGAGTATCAAGAATTGGCGAATATACTTAAAGATAACCATATCCTCCTTCTAGCACAAATCATTTATATAGTCCTTCTGCATGCAAAATCCCAAACCACCCCAAATATTACCTTATTAATAACAATCAGTGAAAGTTCTGAATCTTACTATGTGGTAAGGTGGGAAGTAAGTTCCCCTTGTGGGGTCTTTAAGGATTATTCCAACAAGTCTGTGAAAATTGTACACAGAGAGGCATATGAAACTAGAGGGCTTATTATATTATAGGTCTTAGAAGAGGGAGTTGTGGCATTGCCACACAAGGAGGTACATGGGAAGAAAGCCTAGGCAGAGGCGGTGAGTCAAGTAGATGGGGAGCCAGTAGAGAATGAGAACCTGGGGCATGTATATTTGTGGGGTCAGAGCAAAATGTGTGAGGATATATTAGTGATTTTTGAATATCACTGTGTTATAGTTGGGGAGGAGCAATCTGTGGCAATAACCAGCATATTCACAGAAGGGTGCATATAGCAGCTAGTTTGTGAGGATGCTGAAGCACTGGAAAACAAGTTTTTAAGAAAATGTTCAATGCAGCCACTATCTCTTATTCACTACATGGGTTATATTTCTTGCCCCTAAATTCATTTGCTAAAATTCTAACTCCCCCACCTCAGAAAGTGACAGTTTTTGGAGATAGGGTGTTTTATTTTTTGTGTTGCAAGGTAGATTTTTTTTTCTTTCTGGGTCACACCAGGCAATGCACAGGGGTTACTCCTAGCTTTGCACTCAGGAATTATTACTCCTGGTGGTGCTTGGGGACCATATGGGATGCTGGGAATTGAACCCGTGTTGGCAGTGTGCAAGGCAAATTCCCTACCCGTTGTACTATCGCTCCAGCCTCTGCAAGACAGTTTTTATTGAAACTTACTTAGAAAGATGTGAGGAGAAGGAAAGAAAGAATGTGTTCAGAGTAAAAACAGCCTTGTCCCAAATGGAAAAAACAAAGAAACATTGAGTCTATGTGTTCAAGAGGGAGCAGGGACTTGACAAGTAAGCCCAGGAGACAGGGTTTGTAAAAAAAGGGACTAAGTGCAGACAAGATCATTAGGGCAGGCCTGAATGATTATTCAACCTCACTTAAAAAGATATTCGGAACTCAAGGAAATACACAGGCATGTGTATGCACTGAAGGATCTCGTGAGGATCCAA